CCAAAAGGGTCGTCATTTCGGTGAATGGCTCGAGAATCTTCCCGAGCGACTCAAGTAACTTTCACTCGTCATCGCTTATACGGTAAAGCCTTTCCACATTCTCACCCTCTTCAACAAGGAATGCGTTTATGGGTTGATGCAAAACCTTGGCTTTTTTCATCGTTGCATGGGCGCTTGACCATCTTGTAGGAGTGTCAACTGCAATGGAAGTCAAATTTCCAACTTTGGAACCCTTACGTTTTGCCTCAAACCTATCGCAACGAAAGGAAGAGCCTCCAATATGTGTGGCAAACCCTCTTATCTTCTCAAATGCACTTACAGAGGTGGACTCAACAACAACCATGTTGATCACGTACGCAAAACAAAACATATGCATTTCCTTTGAAAGATAGGCCTATTCACCAAGGAGACGTAGGAAGGCATCGTTCTTCCTTGCATTGTCAAGTGTGATGGCCATCATCTTGTCTTGAAGGCCCCAACAAACATGGACTGAGTGGATGAAAGCGTTTTTTATCGCTTCACCCGTATGAGACCCTTCCATGTGAATAAATTAAAGCAGAATATATTGACTCGAAGTTTTCATCGAGCTGATGAGCGGTTATGGCCATGAAAGCGTCCATGTTGGGGGCCGTCCATATGTCACACGTGAAGATATCTTGCATTGGAGCTCTTGCAATCTATGCAAGATGCAAATCTTCGGCGATGGTGACACGGGAGGGCATGTTCACCTCGGGTTGAAGCCATTTCACCACATCTCTCAACTCCAGACACTCAAATCCATAGAAAGAGATGCTTCCATTTGAAACAATGCGAACAAGGTGCCTCCTATTTTCGGCATCGCACTAGGGCGTGAGCTTTAGCATGGCCCTTGCAATGTCCCACTTCCCTCCGCGGTTTTCCTTTTTTTATCCAAACCCGCTTGCGCAAACTGTTTAGGATGGCAATTCGCAATATGGTCCTCTCCTCGAAATCACTTCTTTTTATTTTCTTTTTACACAAAGAAGACATCTTGCACTCTCGAGCTCGTCATTTGTTTCATAAAACAACACACCGACAATGTCAATGCTTTGTTTCTTTTCACAACCTCATCGTTAGCCACAGTGTCGTCATCATGATCATGCTTAAGAGGGTCGTCAGAAGTTTCAGGAGCACCTGCCAGAATGTTATTGTTCTCTAGCCTGCAGTGGGGTACTCTATAGCGAGTACAACCCCTTAGGGTTTCCTATATGTATCCTGCTGCTTTCTAGTGAACCCTCCCTCTTCTTCTTTCTAAACTTTCTACTACTCCTAACCTTCTCATGCTATCAGAGCAGGTCGATCCCCTTGGGTCGATCCTGTGGGTGGGCTCACCACCTCACTGCTTCCGCTACTACTGCTACTCTGAGTGTCGCACGCCCCGTGGCGTGCGACGGATTTTTCATCCCGCCGCGCGCTCGGAGCGTGCGGCGGTTTTCTGCCTGCCGTGCGCCCCGAGGCGCGAGGCGGGTTTTCTGCCCGCCGTGCGCCCCGAGGCGCGCGGCAGGTTTCTGCCCCGTCACTCAGCGCGTCGCCCCTGGGAGGCACTGCGACGGGCGACGGGGACCCGCGCGTCGCCCGTCGTGGCCGGCGCGCGGCCCGTACAGGCTGCGCGTGGCCCGTACGGGCTGCGCCAGGCCCGCGCGCGGCTCGGGCCGCCTGCGTGCGGTTCGGGCGGCGGTGCCAGGCCCGTGGGCGGCCCGTATTCGCTGCCCCTGCGCTGCCCGCTCTCCCCCGTGCCTCTGATGGCGCCCCACCCCTGCTGCTACCCGTTCTCCTGCATTAGGGTTTGGGGGTGGGGGGGTATGGGGGTGCAGCTTCTGTGTGCCGTCCCCTGCTCCTCCTCCTCCTCCGTCTCCCAGTGCTGCAGCTGCCGCTGAGGGGGGTGGACTTGTTGGAGCCGTCGGAGTGATACCAAGGGGAGGTGCAGGGGGAGTGGAGCTAGGGGTGAAGCAGGGGGTGTGTGTCAGGGGGGGTGGGACTGTTTGGGGAGGTTGAACGGAGGTTGCCGTCGTGTCGCCAGCAGCACTTGTAGTCTGGGGAGTTGCTTCGGTAGCCCAGTCGCAGCCAGCTGTTCCAGTCGCCCGTGGGTCCGTTGCTCGTCTGCCGCTACTTTTAGCCGCGGGGCTAATTACTCCAGTAGTCCGGAGCGTTGTTCCGATAGCCGCTGTGCCAGTGTGACTCCTGTTGCCCGTGTGTCTGCAGCTTCAGCCGTCGCCTCCTATCTCCTCTCCTCTCATAGTCCCTCCTCCTCCTCACTTGCCCGTTGTGACTACCACTAGCTTTGCTCATAATTGTGAACTTTAAACTATTGCTTCTTGTACTTGTGCTCAGAATGTGTGGTGACATTGTGATCCACCCTGAGCTTGTTCTGCTTTGCTTGCTCTGCTGATTACACCCCACTTTGGCTATGGGGGTGTGTCGGAATGTCATTGTTCTCTAGCCTGCAGTGGGGTACTCTATAGCGAGTACAACCCCTTAGGGTTTCCTATATGTATCCTGCTGCTTTCTAGTGAACGCCTCTTCTTCATTCTAAACTTTCCCACCTCCTAAACTTCTCAGCACCATCACTTGTTCCGGCATCATACGTTGAGGTTACCTTTGCTGGGGTAGATGAAGTCATGGTGAAAAAAAGACGCAATGGTAGAAAACTTCAGCGTCCCGACGTCGAAAACAACTTCTGTATTGATCAGCTCAACAAAAAGGATGGCTTGGATGCGTAATTTGGCTAAGAAATACTAAAAAACCTCTTAACTATGCCAAGGATTTGCTCTCTGGATTGAACTTCAAGCTCTTTATAGTTGAGCGGATAGCTCTAGAGCTCTCTGGAGTTAAGAATGGAGATAGAGTGTCGCATGAAATTTGGTTGGAATGTGAGTGGATCGGTTTTGTATGTGTGGTTCCATCCGATTATAGTTTACCCGCTACCCCTAGATTTGTAGTTTTTGCACGTATTTTCCCCACATGTTGTACATGTTTCTTGTGTCAACTGAAGTTGTGTTAGGCCCCATCCTCGCTTGAGCAGAGCCGACCTCGTAGTCGGGTGTACGGGGGAGCGCAGCTGACCTGTAGCAGTGGGCAAGCTGGTTGACGGGGCTGGTCGACGCACGTGGGGGCCACTATGAGGGCGCAGACTTCAAAGGGCGCCGAGTGTGGGGTGATCGACCTGTCGGGGTCGACCTGGCAGAGCGCTGATTTCAGGGCGCCAACCTTGGGTGGTCGACGACTTGGCAAAGTCGGCGGCCTAGTTTCGAAGTGGTCAATGAGGGGATGCCGGCAAGGGAGGACGCCGACCTGACGGCATCGACCTGGTTGCCCAGTCGACCGTATTACCCGGGCGACGGACTTCTGCGGAAGCATGTGAAGGTCACCGGGGTGGTTTTTGCGAGGCCGGCCTTGGAAGTGGTATCCTGAAGTCGACGTGGCTGGTGGGCGTCGTCGGTGGCGTGGACTCCGCCGGGCGTCTGCACCGTGCCCGTGACGAGGAGTGGCGCACCAACCAGCTGCACGCACATGCGAAGCAGGTGCACCGTTATCCTGCGGGTGCAACGTTGTGCAGCCGTCCTGCTGCAGCGTTGGCACACCGTGGACTTGCAACGTTGGCAAGCCACGACTTTGCTCTGCTGGAGCATGGTTGACCAAGTCATGCTGGCACGCGGTCGACCGTGCTGTGCTGGAGGCCGACCAGCAGCCTTGTTAGGTCTGATGTAGCCTTGTATGCCAATGTTGTTGCTATCACTGTTGTCAACTTTATTTAGTGAAACTTTTGCCAATTCTCCCCGTGAACTAGCAAGTAGTGAGAACACAAGGAAACGACTAAGGAACGCAGAGATCCCTCCTACCCCGTGCCTAGCTCGTAGTCTAGCTCCCGTTGATAGAGTTATCTCCGGATGGTGCGGTAAGTGGACGGCACCGCGATGTAGTTTTTGTCAAACATATATCATAAAGCTTGTCTAGGCTATAGTGGGGTAGACACTATGGGGTACAATTTCCTAGGGTTTCCTACTTGTACCCAACCTTGTGCTAGTTCAGTCATTTTCCTCATTTCTTAACATGGTATAAGAGCAGGTTCCCTAGTGGGAACACTTCCTACGGCCCACCACGATTTGTTTTCCTGCCCGGAGTGCGCTTTACTCCTGCCCGAGTCGCGCCCCGTGTGCCCTCCCTACCGTCGCGCCCTCTCACGGCCCCTCACGGCCCCTTCGCGTCGCCCTTAGCGGCCCCTCTCACGGCCCCTCGTGCCGCCCTTACGTCCCCTCGCGCCGCCCTTACGACCCCTTAAGGCCCATCGCGCCGCCCGTCGGCCCCTCGCGCCGCCCTTGCGGCTCCTTATGGCCCCTCGCGCCGCCCTTACGGCCCATCACGCGGCCCCTTCCGGCCCCTCGCGGCGCCTTTACGGCCCCTTACGGCCCCTTACGCCGCCCTTCGCGGCCCCTCGCGGCCTCTTTACGGCCCGTCGCCACCCTCCGCGGCACCTCGCGCCGCCCTCCATGGCCCCTTCGCCGCCCTTCGCGGCCTCACGCAGCCCTGTCGCCGCCCTTCGCGGACACCTCGCCGCCCTTAGCGGCCCTCGCTGCCGCCCCTAGCGGCCCCATCGCCGCCTCTACCGGCCCCTTCAGCGCTGAGCCGCCCAGCAGCTGAGCTGCCGAGCCGCCCAGCGACCGAGCCGCCGAGCGGCCGAGCCGCCCAGCAACCGAGCTGCCGAGCCGCCCAGCAGCCGAGCCGCCCAGCAACCGAGCTGCCGAGCCGCCCACCAGCCGAGCCGCCCAGCAGCCGAACTGCCGAGCCGCCCTGCCGCCGAGCCGCCCAGCAGCCAAGCCACCGAGCCGCCGAGCCGCCCACTAGCCGAGCCGCCGAGCCGCCGAGCCACCCAGCAGCTGAGCCGCCCAGCAGCCCTACCATTGAGCCGCTACTGTTCCTACCGGCGCGCCCCGGCCCTACTTACTCGGACTGGTGAGATCCCTCCCTGCTAGGCCACTTCAGTCATGGCTACCCCCAGTGTCCTTACCTTTGATGCTGAGGGTCGTGCTGTTGACTTTGAGGTCTGGGTCGATGACCTCCAGCTGTTCCTACAAAGCGATAGGGCTGACGGACTCTCCCTGTTCGATCTCACCTGTGGGGCCTCTCCTGCCCCACCTGCTACTGCTGACAGCACTGTTCGCTCAAAGCGGGCCACACGCAATGCTGCTGCCCGTCTTGCTGTGCGTCGCCACTTACCGACCACTAAGCGTGCGCACTTTAGCCAGTACAAGAGTGCTAAGACCTTGTACGACGCTGTAGTTGCACGCTACTCCTCCCCTGCCACTGCTGCGCTTAGTCGCCTAATGCTGCCGTACCTGTTCCCTGACCTTGCTTCCTTTCCCACAGTCGCTGACCTCATTACGCACCTTCGCACTAGTGACACTCGCTACCGCGCTGCGCTTCCTGCTGAGTTCTGTGCCAAGAACCCCCCCCCCATGTACATCACCCTCTACTCCATAGTCACCCGACTCCCTAACTCCCTTCGCTTAGTCACCCGGACCACTTCCTCTCAGTTTGCCCCACCACACTCACCATTGACCTCCTCAAGGAGCGCCTCCTAGCAGTAGAGAAGAGCATAGTCGCTGTAGGAGCCTCTCGTGGTGACCCTCGCACCCCCGTCTTTGAGGGGTGTTCCCCTTCCCCCCTCTTGCCCTCTGTTGCTTCTGCTGCTGCGGCCGACCTCTTTGGTTTCGAGTAGGTCGGCGCGGCGTCTGCCCCTAGCGGGAGACGCCGCACCGGCAAGGGCAAGGGGGGCAAGGGCGCTGGAGGGGCTGGCAGGGGCGGTGGAGGTGGTGGTGGAGGCAGTGGAGGGGGTGGGGGTGGTGGTGGGAGTGGTGGCGGGGGTGGAGGTGTTGGTGGCAGCAGTGGAGGCGTAGGAGGCGGCGGCGGTGGCGGATGGAGTGGAGGCGGCGGAGGTGGCGGAGGCTGCGGAGGTGGCAGAGGCGGCGGAGGTGGCGGAGGCGGCGGCGGCAGCGGTGGAGCTGGTCGCGGCTGTGCGCAAAGGAGTGGGTCCGGTGGTGGTCCGCGCCAGCAGCAGCAGCGCACTCGTGACACCCTGTCCCCTCAGCAGCTTCGTGAGTGGTACGCTGCGCATCAGCGCGGAGGGGGTACTGGTCCCTGTACCTACGTCCTCCGTACCGGCGACCGCGCTGGTGAGCAGTGCGGGGGCCCGCACTCCACCCAGCGCTGCTTCGGCCGCCTGACGGACGCGTGGCGTCACCAGTTCCCTCACGCCACTGAGATCCCTCGCTGGGGAGAGCTGTCTAGGGCGGGGGTTGCTATCTTTGATCTTGATTATGATGCTATTCTTAATACCATGTATGCTGTGTCTGATCGTGTTGAGGGTGACTGTTACCTGTGTGTTCCGCCTGACCCGGGCATTGAGGCTGCTGCTCTAGGTGCTTGTGAGGCTGCTGCTCTAGGTGCTAGTGAGTCTGCTGCCCCAGGTGCTGGTGAGTCTGCTCTCTCAGGTGCTATGCCGGCTCAGGCCTTACACACCTTCACCCTTGACTCGGGTGCTTCCCGCTCCTTCTTTCGAGACCGCACCACGCTTACGCCGCTTAGTCGGCCGGTTGCGGTCTCCCAAGCGGACTCCTCTGGGGGTCCTGTCCTTGCTAGCTTCTCCGCTGTCTTACCGTGCCCGGCAGCCCCCTCTGGCACCCTGTCAAGTCTCTACCTCCCCTCGTTCTCTACGAACTTGGTGAGTGGAGCTGATCCACAGGACAGGGGGGTTGACCAGTTCACTCCTGCGAGTCAGCGGGTGACCCACTGCACGTGTGCTCGAACAGGCCGACACTTGGCCAGGTCCTCCCCCGGTAGACCCCCTCCCCCCTCAGGGTCCTACCCCGTCAGGTAGACGCAGTCAAGCCTGTCGAGGTAGCTGTTGACTCTGGTGCTGCTAGAGGTGCTGAGCCTGCGGGTGCCGGGTCTCGAGGTGCTGAGCCTGAGGGTGCGGAGCCTGGGGGTGCTGAGTCCAGGGGTGCGGAGCTTGGGGGTGTTGAGCGTGGGGGTGCTGAGCCTGGGGGTACTGAGTTTGGGGGTGCTCAGCCTGGGGGTACGGAGCCTGGGGGTGCTGGGTCTGCTCGTGTGGCCTCTCGCGGTGCTTCGTCGAGGCGGGAGCCACTCTCTCCGCAGGAGCTGCGCGAGCGGTTTGCCCAGCGCTGGAGCCGTGCTGCTGGAGCTGGAGGCCCTACTATTGCTGATGGTCCCGGAGGTGCTCGTACTGGCTGTACTGGAGCTGCTGGGACTAGGGGTGCTGCTGGGGCTGCTGTAGTTGGTCCTGCTGGAGCTGCTGGCGGTACTGGAGCTGGTGCTGTTGGTGCTGCTCGAGCTGCTGGAGCAGGAGCTGCTGAGGGTGTTGGCGCTGGTGTTTCTGCTGGTGCTGGTGCTTCTGAGGGTGCTGGAGTTGGCGCTGTTGGAGCTGGAGGTGCAACTGGCGCTGGTGCTGCCGCTGGGAGTACTGGTGCTGTCCTTGCTGGTTCTGGAGGCGCTCCGCGGTTGCAGCCGTACCTCGTTCCGCTCCTTGAGCAGGTTCTTGGTCTCCCGCCCTCTACTGGTCCTGCTCCTCCCTTAGAGTGTCCACCGCCTGTCCGGTCGCGGTCCCAGTTACAGCCCGCCTCCCCTCTACCTGATCCTTCTCCCTACACTGGTCCTACTGGAGGTCTTGCTGAGCGTCGTGAGCCTGCGTCTCGTCGTGCGTTGCCTGTTCGTGCTACTCGCACTAGTGGTCGTGCTTCGCGTCCACGTCCTCTTGCGGTCCCAGGCAAACACCAGATGGCACTGCGTCCTTCCACTGCTCCTCTGCGTGTCCCGTTGCCGTCTCCTCCTGAGTCCTCTCTTCCTGTTCTTGCTGACCCGGAGTCTGACTCTCTTCGTGCTGCCAGTCCTACTGTCACGCGTCTCCTGGCTACTGTTGTCACTGACCCCTCCTTTGAGTCCACTACTGCGTCTGCCCTAGTTGCTGAGCTTGTCGACTTTGAGTCCACTGCTGCGTCTGCCCTAGTTGCAGGAGGAGTTCCAATGTTTTGCTGCTGCTTTGCCTCATCTCATGTCCACGCTGATTGCCCCTGAGGGAGACCCAGATGCACCAGACATCCCGACTCCTCGATTGTACACTGAGGCGATCGAGGGTCCCTAATCCTCTTAGTGGCAGTTAGCCATGGACGCAGAGATGGCTTCCTGGAAGTCCAAAGGCACCTACGCCGACGAGGTTCCCCCACCTGCGGCGAACATCGTCAGTGGCATGTGGATCTTCAGGGTGAAGCGCCCGCCGGGTTCCCCGCCTGTCTTCAAGGCGCGTTACGTGGCTCGAGTCTTCTGTCAGCGGCAGGGAGTTGACTACTTTCAGACCTTCTCTCCCACCCCGAAGATGACCACTCTTCGGGTGCTGCTGCACATAGCCGCTCAGCGCGACTACGAGCTTCACTCTCTTGACTTCAGCACAGCTTTCCTACAGGGCAGCCTGCACGAGGAGATCTGGCTGCGCCGCCCACCTGGCTTCACTCGGTCATTTCCTCCTAGTACCCAGTGGAGCCTCCGGCGGCAAGTCTACGGTCTCCGCCAGGTGCCCCGTGAGTGGCACGACACACTGAGGACTACACTTGCGGCTCTTGGGTTTGCTCCTTCTACTGCCGACCCGTCGCTGTTTCTGCGCACCGACACCTCTTTGCCGCCGTTCTACATCATCGTGTACGTCAACGACTTGGTCTTTGCCACTACTAACACTGCTAGACTCGCCCACGTGAAGTCCGAGCTGCAGAAGAGACACACGTGCACAGACCTGGGTGAACTGCGCAGCTACCTTGGCTTGCAGATCACCCGGGACAGAGCACAGCGCACCATTACCCTGACTCAGTCACACATGGTGCAGCAGGTGCTTCAGCGCTTCGACTTCACGTACTCCTCGCCTCAGGCCACTCCTCTGTCTACTCGCCTGTCGCTCTCAGCTCTTCCTTCGGATGAGTCCGTAGAGTCGAGTGGCCCGTACCCAGAGCTTGTTGGCTGCCTCATGTACGTGATGACCTGCACACGACCTGACCTTACATACCCTCTTAGCATCTTTGCACGCTATGTTGCTCCTGGGAGACACCGACCAGAGCACATGGCTGCAGCGAAGAGGGTGTTGCGCTACTTGTGCAGTACGTCGGGCATGGGGCTAGTGCTTGGAGGGCGACGTCGAGTGGTCCTCACAGGTCACGCAGACTCTTCTTGGGCTGACGACCAGGCTACGCAGCGGTCGTCACAGGGTTACACCTTCAGCCTTGGCTCCAGCTCTGTCTCGTGGCGGTCTACCCGCTCGTCTTCTGTTCTCGGCTCCAGCTGCGAGGCTGAGATCTACGCGGGGGCCATGGCTGCACAGGAGCTACGCTAGCTCACCTACTTGCTGACTGACCTAGGAGAGCCGCCTCGTTCTCCTCCAGTTCTGTACGTAGACAACAAGGCCATGCTGGCCTTGTGTCTGGAGCACAGACTGGAGCACAGAACGAAGCACATTGCTCTCCGCTACTTCCTTGCTCGTGAGCTGCAGCAGCGTGGTCAGCTGCGCCTTGCTTACGTGGCCTCTGAGGCCAACACTGCTGATATCTTTACCAAGGCACTTCCGTCTGGTGATCATCAGCGCTTCTGTACTATGCTAGGTCTTGTGCCTACTTGGCCTCACTTGCTCACTTCTTGACCTTGCTTGTACTGTGATCTTTCTATACCTGCACTTGCCTGTTTACTTTTATATATGATCTTGCATGTGAACTGGCCTTGTGGCCTTGCTCTTGTGCTCGGATTGTGTGGTGACGTTGTGATCCACCCTGAGCTTGCTTTGCTTTGCTTGACTGGTCTTGTGACCTCTTGTTCTCCCCCACTTTGCCTATGGGGGTGTGTCAAACTTATATCATATAGCTTGTCTAGGCTATAGTGGGGTAGACACTATGGGGTACAGTTTCCTAGGGTTTCCTACTTGTACCCAACCTTGTGCTAGTTCAGTCATTTTCCTCATTTCTTAACAGTTTTCAGTCTAGCCGAATTTTGCACTTACCTATTGTGTTCGTAGGCCGGCATTTGTGCGTTAGTCACCATGGTAGGTGCTGTAGGTGACGCTGGGGTGGTGGACACCCTAGAGGCACGGCTGGAGAACGTGAGGAGACATCACGAGGATAACGAGTACAGCCACCTCCCCTAGGTAGTCGTCGAGGCTGGCATCTGCATGTGTGGGCGACGGAGCTCCCTTCTAGGCCTTCCTCTATTCGATAGGTGAACACCAAGGGCGGCGACGATGTGGGCGTCAATTCTGGTGACCAAGTTGGCAGCAGCGCGGGAGCGTCGTCGAGGCAGAGAGGGGTGATACACGCCAGTGAAGTCGGCGGCGTTCAGGCGCGAGGGATGCAGTCGTCGGCGGCTGCAGGCACCTTGCAGAAAGATGTCGGAGGACGTCGAAGCGGTGTGACGCTGATGTCGGCGACGTACATAAAGGCGGGCGGAATAGCGCCGAGCTACGGCTACTTCAAGTTTACGCCGGACATGATTTCTGTCACCCCCTTGCTGGTTGGTCGACCTGACATTCTCACCTTGAAAAACGCCATCGAGCCTTAGCTGGAGATGGCCGGGCTGATGGGCTTCGCCACTGCCACCGTGGTGACGCCGTCGGAGAACTACTCCGACCTGCGTGTGGAGTTTCGCGTTCTACAGCTGTTTAACTTCACGGTCATCTCGCGGTGCTGCTCGCCGGGCGTTCAGATTGCTTTGAAGCCGTGCAGGGACTACCTGGACGCCGGCCACCAGTGTGGCACTTCATCGAGTTAGTGTACCAGGTCACCGACGACCTGTACATCGGCCGTTTTGAGGAGCAAATGACGCATCTGCGAATGGGCAACCAGGAGACGGCAACCGACTACTGCAACTGGGCACGGCGACTTCTCGACACCATGAGAATGTCTGACGTGCAATACTCCATGGCGTTGTACTTCACCCATGTCCTGAAGGGGCTCTCGAGCAGCTACACCTGATGAAGCAGTTGTCAATGGTGCCAAGCACAACGCTCAACGAGGAATCCCTGACCTCGTACATCCTGCGGGACGAGACGATGCAGGAGGCGGAGAAGTCATTGGAGCTTCTGCCGCAGGCAAACTACGTCACCCCGGCGAAGCAAGGAGGCCGACCGGGGCGCGTGGGTAGTCGACGGCAGTGGAAGCGGTGGCGGGAGGCCAGCGAAGGACGCCGACGAGAAGAAGTTGGCTAAGGAAAGCGGTCGTGGAGGAGGAAGTCGACGTCGGAAGTGTTGGCGACCCCGACCATCTCTCCTTTGAGTGCCCTGACCGCAGTGACTCGGACGAGGACGACGCCAAGGGTGGCTGAGGGAGTTCGGCTGGGCGTCGCCCTCGTAGGGAGAGCAAGCCGCATAGGGAGACGCAGTCGACCAAGTCGTCAACCTCGGCGAAGGACGCCGACTCCTCTGCTGGCGGCAAGGGGCGAGACGAGATGGAGGGCGTCATGCTCGCTGGTCGGCATCGTGGAGCCGAGCGTCTTGCTGGAGCCAGAAGCCGGCGAGGACTTCAAGGCGATGGTGGCGGCCGTGCAGGCAAACTCGGCGGTGGTTCTGCTTGACAGCGGCTGCTAACATCACCTGATGGGGACGAAGGAGGTCTTCGTTGAACTGCAGCCGAGCGACAACTTCAAGCACGTGCTCGGCTTTAATGGTGCATTGCAGGACGTCCAAGGACGAGGCACGGTCGCCTTGCAAGGGGAGGCCGGGAAGCAGGTACTGATTCTCGATGTGCTCTACATCCCGGGCATGCACGCGAACCTACAGTCGGCTAGTCAGCTGAAGGAGAATGGTGTGAAGCTGAAGGAGGACGGCGACGGGATGTT